GCATCCCAACCCTCCGCGCTGGAACCCACACGGCGTCACCATCCCAACCCTCCACCAACCCTCCCCTCCGCGCTGGAACCCGCGGGGCATCAGCATCCCAACCCTCTGGGCTGAAACCCGCGGGGCATCAGCATCCCAACCCTCCGCGCTGAAACCCGCGAGGCATCAGCATCCCAAGCCTCCAGCATCCCAACCCTCCGCGCTTAAACCCACGCGGCATCAGCATCCCAACCCTCCGCGCTGAAACCCGCGAGGCATCAGCATCCCAAGCCTCCAGCATCCCAACCCTCCGCGCTTAAACCCACGCGGCATCAGCATCCCAACCCTCCGTCCGGCAAACGGGAGGGTGAAGGAAGGGCTGCGCTTCCTCTGGGAAGTGTTTTTTTTAAAGGTTCTGATTGCTGCTGTCTCGTGGGATTTTTACTTTTGTCTCTAGGGTTTTAATTTCCTCCCGTATTTTGAGCGTGCTCCCGGCTGTTCTTCCTTGCTTTCTGCAGCAGGGTGTAAGGGAGCATCACGTTAAGGAATACACTGCCTTGTCCTGGAGGGGAAACTCAAACGATGGCGAAAATACACACAATCATGTCATCTAAAAATTCTAAACAATAACCCTGGGGAACAGCCTCTGGTAGAACATGAAATCATTGTGGTTCATATTTTCTCCCTCCTTAAGCTGAACCTTCCAGCACACACAGTTTATTTATCCTTCCTGTAATTCTAAAACCTGATGTCAGCATTTCCTCTCAAGAGAATCTCCTGCCTTGAGCTTCAGTGGGTGGAGTGGAGACATCCCAAAATTAAACAGTTTATAGAGCTGCAATTATTTCAAAATCAGGGCAGCCCTTCCTTGCCTTCAGCAAGGTGTCAGCAGTTACCTCTGGCCTCACACTGCTGCTCTTGCAGCCATGGAATACATAGTGAATCTCCTCACTGACACCTTGATCTTGGCCTGTTTCTACAGTTTTCCTCTAACTCTTCCCTCCAGCTCACTTTCTACCTTGCTTGTACTTTTTATCTAAATGAAGTCATCCTTTGGAGCCTAAATGGACATCACAAAGATCTTGACTGTAATTCATAGGATTTAATCCAAATCATTGCACATGTATTATTTATATAGAAGTAAACACTTTGGTAATTAAAGAATCAATCCATTTCAAAGAAAACACAGCCCAAAGTATGCAAATTGTAAAGACTGAACTGTCAGCTGTCTCAATCCATTTCAAAGAAAACACAGCCCAAGGTATTCAAATTATAAAGACTGAACTGTCAGCTGTCTGATGAGGAAAAGAACAGTGTTAATTTGAAGTTCATGGATATGAGAAGTAGTATTTTACACATCAAAGGATATCACATTTTTGCTGACAAGCATGACCTGAGTTTTGGGAACCTAAACAGGAACATTAGTGGGAGCAGCATTAGCGAGGGAGAATTGTTTTTACAGGCTTTTTATGAATGCAACAATTTTGTCCAATCCCCTATTCCCAGATGGAAATGAGAAACCAGCATGATGAAACAGGCTTACGATCCCAAGGCTTATGATCCCATGGAATCCATCCTCGAGGTGGTACCAGGTCACTCGAACACCGTTGTCCTCCAGTCTCTTCTTGTACAGCAACCCATCGTCCCGCAGCACGTCGTACTCACAGGTCAGGATGAAAGACTCAGGCAGCTGCTGAATAATTGTGTCTTCAGCCAGCAGTGGGCACAGGGTGGGCTCAGAGATTCTCTTCATTTTCTCAAAAACTTCAGCCTTGAATTCCTGGGGCTTGTGTGGTTTGTAGCCTCTGCCCTTAAATCTCTCAGGGATGTTATCTGGACTCACCCACTTCCTGTACTTCAGCCTCATGTCTGGAGGAATATGAGAACCTTCCAAGAGATCTTCAAGGTTTGATGCCTCCCCATGTAGGTAGAGCAAAGCACAGAAAATAGCTTGCTTTCGGGACAAGAGAGGAACTCCCTGATTCTGCTGATAGGATGGTAAATTGAAGTCCAGTGCCTGAAGGCCTGGGTAGATCAGGACCTGAGCACGGAGTCTGGGGAGGTCTGACCTGCCTGCAAGGGTCTGGCTAACAGCAGCTGCTAGATTGCCCCCAGCAA